TATAATTAGATATAAAAATAGATTTTGAGATAATCCTAAGAATATTTTACATCAAAATTATATACCACGATAAAATTTGAAGGTGTACCTTACCTCCACACCTACGGATGCATCCGTATGCCAACTGCACCCTTTTATAATAGGGATCTAGGAAGGGTTGTAAGGTAAATTGTTACGCATTTTAAAACAGTAACACTTCCGCTACAGATGATATCTTGATTTTTTTTGATGCAAATAAAGACCAGATCAAGAATCTGAGTACTGTCCTCCTCTGTTGCCAGCTTGCTTTGGGTCTCAAAATAAATTTCTACAAAACATTGTTAGTAGGTATTGGTTGCTCCATTGGAAAGGTGAGTCTCTAGCCTCTACACTTGGTTGCAAAATTGATAAGTTTCCTCTAAAATATTTAGCAGTTTCTATCTCAGATTGTAAGCTTTCTCAAGCCGCTTGGGGTCCTCTCATTCATAGATATCAAGTTAAATTAGATTTATGAAAAATCAAAACTATACATTTCGGTGGTTGTGTAACTTTGGTTAAATCAACCTATGATAACTTTCCTATTTATTTAATGTCTGTTCTACAGATGCCTAGTGAAGTTTATCTAAATAAATGTGGATGATAATCAGAGAAAAAATCATTTGGTTAATTGGGATCGGGTTTGTATGCCAGCTAAATTGGGAGGTTTGGGTATCAGATATATTAAACTTATGAACTAGGCTCTTTTGTCCAAATGGTGGTGGACAAGTTTTCATGATTCTTCTCATCTTTGGGAAGTTGTTCTGACGGCTAAGTATGGCTTTGATTTTATCTCTCACTCTATCAAAAGAGGCAGAGGAGGTAGGTATATCTCACAGATTTGAAAGGATATTTTCAGTTGCAAGAGAATACTCTTCAATAATATCATATGGTTAATTGGCAAAAGGGAAAAAACTTTATTTTGGTTTAATAAATGACTTGGTGATAAACCATTTTATTCTTTATTTTCATATCTGTTTACAAAAATTACTCAGCCTAGTGCCAAAATTTCAGAGCTGGTTTCTTATTCTAATTCGAGAATAGTGTGGGATATTGGATGTATTTATAATAGACTCCCAGATTCAGTCATACTTCAGCTTCAAAATCTCTAGAACCTCCTTGACCAGGTCTATATTTCTCCAAGTTTTGACGATTACATTATTTGGGAGATTGAGACAGATGGAGTGTTCTCGGTTACATCAACTTATAGGCTACTTTTCATGGATAGGGCTTGCAATATTAACTGCACCCTCGTTTCAATTTGGAAGCAGTCTATTCCGGTTAAAATGCAAGCTTTTCTCTGGGTTTCCCTACAAGGAAAATGCCGCACGATTGACAATTTGCACAAATGGGGAAAAAAATTGACAAACATTTTCTTGATATGTGAAAGTGATGAAGAAACTAGCATCCATCTGTTCTTACATTGTCATTTTGCTGCTCGCTTATAGAACTAGGCTTTCTCTTTGTTGGGACTTTTTCTTATGATACCGATGAGCCTTATCAATGTTATTAATCAGCTCTCTGTTCTAAGATTACCAAAGAAAGGTATTGTCATTTGGAAAATCTTTAGAAGTACTATTCTCTGGCAGATATGGTTAGAACGTAATAGAAGAACTTTTGATAGGGTCAATTTAAGTATTGAAAGGGGTTAAAAATCGTGTTTTGCAAACTTCATGGGACTGGTTTACTAGCACTCTTGATGGTCGGGGTGTTCTTCGCACTGACATTTATATAAACCTTAAGAATTTGGTTTTCTCATACTCTTATTTGGGGGCGTCCTCATCGGACTTGGAAGTTACCTCTAGATGACTGCCTCAAACTCAATTTTAATGGCAGCTCTTTAGGTAATCTAGGTCCTACAGGTGTTGGTGGACTACTTCGTAACCATGATGGGCAGGTTCTTTTCTTTTATGCTGGTCCCTGTGGCAATACTACAGCCAATCAACTTGAAATGTCAGCCCTTTTACAAGGACTGAAAAATTATTGTCCGAAAGGGGTTTCTTTGGAAACATTCTTATCGAGGGTCATTATTTGAATGTGGTTAATTGGTACAGGCAAGAGCAAAAGATCCCTCGGTCCTTACACACCATCTGGGTTAATATTTATGATCTTTATGCTCTCGCGAGTTTACGGGTTTCCTTTTGCCACACCTATCGTGAAGCTAATAATAATGTCTCGCTAAGCTTGGTGTTTCTCTTCTTATCTCTGCTGCTTTGATACATACGTTGTAACTTCATGCTATTTAAGCATTTATCTAATATAAGCTCATAACATTCGTCAAAAATAATAATTGGTAATGTCAGCTAATCACTCGAGGCCAAGCCTGATTCTTAGACACACCTCATTTTCAAGGTTTATGATATATTTTTAATGGTGGAAATCAAGCGTTCACATGCATTTTGTATGTTGGAGCCCAGACATGCTCAATTTAGAACTTAAAAAAGAGATTTTTTTATGCAAGAGATGAAGTACAAAAGGGCCAATGTAATTATACATATAGAAAGGAAAGGGAGGTGGAGTCTTTTTCATGAACGTTATGTATAGATTACAAGTACAATAACAAAGATAATATCATGTGTACAAGAGCAAAGATAAAACGAAAAAAGCGAAGTCAAAGCTCCTTCAATAAAAACCCTATCTAGGACTAATTTAAGACCTCAGTTTAGGGTGATATTACCTCTTCAATCTAGTGACCAATCTAGAGAAAAAGGAAAAAGGAAATATGTGAAAATATATATATAAAGAGCTAGTTACTTTTAATACAAATAGGACATTTTTAATACGAAGAAATCACAATCACTCTTGTTTGTTTAAAAAGTCGCAGTCACTCTTGTCTGTTCAAATCGGGTGGTTGTGAATATATTATTGACTCAACTCAAAATTCAAAAAAAAATTCTCAAACTTTGAAACACATTCCAAGTCATCCAATTTGACATCTACCAGGTAACAACAATTGTGACCTCCTTGTAAGAAAAATATCATAGTATACAATGCCATTCTATATATAACTGAAAATGTTTAGTAGCCTTCAATTTTTAGAAATTTAAAATCCATTTTCTTTCGCAGCATATAGTACACACTTAGGTGGTAAATGCCATTGTAGCATACAAAGTTCACAAAACCCTAAATTAACATCGCTACAGTAAGGTTGCCTAAATTTTTATTAGAAGCAATCGGCCTTTGTGTCTGTGATCATTGAGGAAGAAATCGAAGCATTTGAAAGGTGTTTCACCATGTGTCCTTGGCTATCAGTAAATCCAGCATATGTTTATTTACAAAGAAAGGATTTTGTCTGACTCTCTCTAACTGATACAAAAGACACGGGTGTTGAAATAATGGAGAGAGAGAGAGAGAGAGAGAGAGAGAGAGAGAGGTAGGTTCTTACTACTATTGTTCTCTAGTAATTAATTACGTACTAAGTAGTAGTAGTAACTACTACCTACTATAGTACGTAGGTAGAAGGAAGTAAGGTAAAGGTAATATA